ATAAGAGACAAAGAATGGAATTATCTCATGATTCAAGAATCAATTAAACACAAGGACATAATCATAATAAAGATCAATGCTCCCAATGAAAGAACCTCAAAACACATAAATCAAACTCTAATAGAATTGAAGAAATAAACAACTCTTCGATAAGAGTTGTCATTGTTGTTGAGTGCCATTGAGTCCATTCTGACTCATAGCAGCTGGTATAGGGTTTCCAAGGAGCAGTTGGTGAACCATGAGCTTCAAAGTCATGGTTAGTTCTCAAATCATGTGCATGCACTCTGGAAAAAAATACACTTATTATTAGCTCAGCTTAAAGTAGATAATAAATGCATAACAAATATTTTATGTAATATTTAATGTAACAATGAATCTAGTTTTATTTTCCTCCACTGGAATATTATGTAATCAAACAGTTCAGTTCAACCCCCACAAATATTTTTTAAATAGACTCCAACAAGTTAAAATCTCAAAGACAACCCTGTGAGAGCTGCTAAAAACTCCTCTCCCTAGGCTCCACCTGCAGAGGTTCTGATTTGAAAAGATGGAGCCAAGGAAACCTAGTATTTGTAGTCTGATAAAAGTTATAGACCTTCTTTTTCAAAAGTATACAAAAGCATTCTGCAAATCCATAGCATTTGTAGTTCTAATTAAAATCAACCTTACACTAAAAGATAAAATCCCTAGGTATCCTGGTTGTTCCTGCATCCTCAACATCTTCTTTTACATTCTCAGACAGAGCTGCCTCAAGCCTAGAACACATTTTTTTAGGATAAAAAGGCATTGGAACTACATGAAAAATAATTTAAAAGAATGTTACTTGGGTACATACAAAGGATTGATAGAAAACTAGAGGGAAACAAGGAAGAATGCAGGAAAGCATTACAGGAGTGATCAAACAAAACAGATAAAGGAATGGAAATTATACAAAACCTGCAAACAGAAATCCAGAAGATTAATATTAAGATTTCAGAAATTGCCAATACATTGAAGGGGCAAAGGAGTAGCTTTGAATCAATAGAAGCCCAAATTAGTGAGCTTGAAAAGAAATCTCTCAATACAATAAGCTAGAAGCACAATCAGAAATTATTTTTGAAAAAATTCAACTGAAAAAAATATGAAGAAAACCTAAGATTCATGTGGGACAATATGAAGAGTAATAACTTATGGGTAATTGGAATTCCAGAACAGAAAGAGACAAAGAAAAGCACAAAAAAAGATAGTTGAAGAGCTGTTGAAAGAAAATTTCCCTAACATCATGAAAGATGAGAACATAACCACTTAAGAAACTGAACAAACCACAAACAAGATAGACCCAGAAAGAAATTCACCAAGACATATCATAATCAAACTCTCCAAAATCACAGACAAGGAATGATCCAGAAAACAGTTCAGAAAAAATGAAGTTAACTACAAAGGAGAACCAATAAGACAAAGTTCTGATTTCTCAGCACAAACCATGCAATCAAAAAGGCAATATACAAAACTTTGTATCCAAATCAATTCTGAATATATAAAAACTTTGAAGAAATATACAAACCAAGGGACCATATATAAAACTCTGAAAGAAAAAAAAAAATTGCCAACCAGGAATCCTCAACCCAGCAAAACTGTCCCTCAAATGCACCAGCAAAATTAGGACATTTCCAGATAAACAGAAATTAAAGAAATTTGTAAAACCAGACAAACTTTACAAAAAATACTAAAAGGAAGCTTTTGAACTAAGAACCAACAACAGCAGACAACAACCAGATACTGACACACACAGCAACATTACCCAGAATTCAATCCAGAGGTAGAAGTAAAAAAAGTAAAATAAAC